GCTGTTGTGTTGTGTTGAAAAGTGGCAAGACAGTGTGCAAGACCACGTGAGATGGTCAATGCAGCTCAAGATGTCCTTATTCCACATAATCAAGATGCCACCCACTGTGTTATTAGCCGGTAGAGATAACCAGCCAAACTCTTTGTAATTCCATAAGCTTTCCACCAAATAGTCATTGATCGAGTCCAGTTTGATTCCTAAAAACAGAACAGATCTGGCTTCCATCGACTAAGGCATCCCGTGATGATGTTCCTTTTTTTCAAATCATTCAGGTCTCTAACGTTCCACGAGATGATTTTATCAATCATAGATCAATGGCTAGAGGGTCCCCACTATCCTTATCGTGTCTCTGTTTACCATCATAATTGATGTCAAATTACAGTCTTTTCAATTCTATGGAACCACCTGCTGTCGTCTTCTTCTTTTCAGATTATGCCCTTTCTTCTCTCTCAAGCATTCCTTTTTCAAGCTCAACAAACAGAGCCATGGCCTGGAATTCATAGCCTTCAAAAGCGACGCCCAACAACTTGCCAACTCTGAGGATGTTTCTGCGCACCCATGAGGAGTAGAAAAACTATGCGTCCGTGTCATCAGCTAACGAGATATCTGAGGGAAGGCCTGTGTCCAAATGAGAGCTTTCTGGAACCAGGGTCAGCTCAAAACCAGATGGAGTATCAGAGTTTAATGGGAGAGTATTGAGCTCAACGGTGGGTTCAACGACTGAAACAGAATAAATTGCTTGCTTGAATCGGGAGGGAGCAGAGGCATTAGTAATTAGGGTTTTGGATTGCGAGGGGGTTTGAGGAGAAACTGAATTTCGAGTGAGTATATCCATAAGTGGTTCCGGGTCAGTAGATTTCGTTCGGGTTGAGGATGGCGCGGTTTTCTTTTTGGGTCTCCATTGCCATAAGTTTTTCTGATGTTTGAGCTTTGGACGAGCGACAATTTAGAGGCCTCCTTGCTGGATCCGATGTGATCAACCCATTTTCCTTTTTCCTCCCTCGAGTATCTAGGTTCCTGAGTAAAGATGGGTTTAGTCAGGCCTGGTTTTGGGTAAGCCCATTTCATAGATATCTGCAATGGAGGTGGACGCCCGCGAAGTCCATTGCGGATTTGAAATTCAAAAGCTGGTTTTTTTGGGGCCAATGATGGGTCAAGAGTCTTCTTTGTCGCCCGACTAGGGTTGATCGAGGAAAAAGACAGAACTTCAGCAAACGACTTCTCAAATAGTGTTATGAGAACAATGCGGACACTGTACTGGTATTTCGGGCAAAATAAGGAGAAGCGTGGGGGTTCAACTTGGACTTGATGAGCGCATTAGTCTTCAACGATAGGGGCCGCTTGTACACGTATATGTGTGAAAGGATTTTTCAGGAGGGTGTCAGTTAGCTCAAAGATAGCTTTCAAGGTTCGCCACCATCCACCTGCTTCAAAGCCGTCAGGAAAGAAGATTCTTTTAACAGAGCGGCCTCTAAAAGCACGAGTTTACGACCTCATCTGTTCCTTACCAAAAGCAAGGAAGAATTGGCGACGATGACCCATGAAATTTCTCCCCCAAGCTTTACCACCTTTATTCCAATAAACGTCACTGAGGTATTCGACCAACTAATCTACTTCTTTCTTGTTGAGACCAATTGAGATTCTGCTTCCTCTTCCATTTACAAAAATTCTTAGTCCGTCAAGTTTTTTTCCTTCACAAACAATGTCAAACAGTTTCCTCCCTATGAGGATAACGCGCTTGGTGTTCTCGTGAGACATTTTGGAAGGACAGGGGATTTGGTAGGCCACGACCAAGAGGTGTACCCCGGGGGCGTGTTGGAATGGTCAAACAGGAGGTGGGGAGAGCCCTTGGTTAGGGTTTGGATGAGCTGTGCGGGTAACAAGTGTAAAGAGATTTTTAGAGAAAGAAGATAACAAAAGTAGAGAAGTATCTTGTTGTGGATGATTAACCTGCTTTCAATCTATGGACGAACTTGCTTTTAAGGCTTGAGCACTGTAAATTGGGAGGAGTCAAAGGATCTGAAAAAATATGCTCTTTGAATATGACTTTAATTCCCTTTTGCAAGGGTAATACATAAAATGGTTCTTAATTTTCATTTCTTATTAATTTGTTTTCAAGTTTCACATTGTTTATTGGCTAAATACATTAAAAAAAACCCATCTACTTTCCAAACTTATTCAAATAACCCACTATACAATTACAGCCTGTACTCTAAAAATTTATCCAAATAAGTCATTATCCTAATACTCTATATCATTTCACCTAAAAGCCCTTTCTTCCTCATGTTATTCCTTCCTCCTCTACCAAAAAGATTCCCCATCTCCTGAAAGTCAAGACTAATTAATATACCATGACTTACTTCAAAAAAAAGTTAATATACCATGACACCTATACAGCATCTTTAGATATACTCATCTCTTCTGGCTGAATAATGATATCCAGGCATTAAATTCCCAGCATGACTATCAGATTTGTTCCGTCAATGAATACCTGACACTTAAGCTGCTAAATTCACTTTACAGGCTAGAAAAACTTTGTTGGCTAAGGTTCATCAAGAATATCATCACCATGGATCAATAACGTGGTGGAATAAGAAGTCAAGAACTTCCCTCTGTCAGCAAGGTAAGTCCCATTCAGGACGAAGCACTCTGTTGCTTCTGGTACGTGAGTGTATGGGCCAGCATTATCTGGTAAATCCAGTCAGAGTGGGCTGCTTCTATGCTGCCTTCTTGAAACCTACTTATACACATTTGTAATAACACTGAAATTATCCAATCCCAGGAAAAACCCATCCTTGATTCTGCGGGTAATGTAGGTGTCTGAGCTCCCCCTCAGGGCCGAGATGGGGAAGAAAGGACTTTCAGGCAGAAGGTTTGTCGCCAACATGGCATCAAAGTTGATGCTGACCAAATGAAGGCTTAGAAACCTAGGGTAAGTATCTGAATAAATTTTGAAAGTACAGATTTTATTTGAACACAAAATCATAGAGGGGTGGATTTAAAGAAAGTCTGAAGAATATAGGGGCTTTTTATGTATTTAAACCCAAATTCAAGAGAAATGCTCCTTTCTCTGCCTGAAAGAGCAAAAGACTTCAATACCTTCAACTTCTGGAGATAGCCATCAAGCTCACTACTGACACCATCTCTCATAGAGCCCCCTCCAGATGAAAAAAGCTGCTCCTCATCCAAGCCCTCGCCAACCAAAGCTTGCTGCAGGAAGTCAACAACCAAGTTATTTTCCAATTAAAGAAACCTACAAGTAACTAGATTTCATATATTTCCAGAAACTTAGTATAAAAACTTTAAACGGGTGCTATGCACACAGATTAGTAGCCCTAAAACATCCCATTGATAAATTATCAAGTTAGTTGTTAAATAATAAACACTCTCACAAGTAATATTATGGCAACTTTTGTAAAGCACATATTAAATGACTAACAGCTTGAAAATCCAGAAGACTCAGTACCAGAATGTGAGAATGCACAGTGCAAGCTTGAATTGTTAAGAACTCCAATATGAACACATCAGTCAACATCATATAGACCTTCCAATTTAAGATGTTCCCAAATGTAGAAATTTTTTAGTTGTATATATGATATATATCAACCATGAAAGAAAAATTGACAAACACATTTTACCTGTATAGTTCCTTTGAAGTAGATTGGACTCTGAATGTTAAAAGATATTTTCAAGGGGAAAAGACTTCTAAAGCTAATATTTATTTGTAAGAAATTTATTAAAATATTACAAAATATTTTTATGTAATTATTAGTTGATTTCCTATCATTAATAGAGTGACTTCTGTTTTCATATATCCATCCCTCTTTCTCTCTCTCTATATATATATATACCTCTAACTCTATGGAATGAAACACAAGAAATATTTTTTTTATTTTTTCTGTTATTTTACATAGTATCAGAACTAGAGTTAGGGGTTTAACAGTCAAATTAGATCAAACCAAAAAAGGGTTGAACAGTTCATTCTCGGTGTCGGAGGAAGTCGACCTCCAACTAGTTTAGATTGCGGCCGGCACGGTGATACACTCAGAAGAAGCGGAGGAAGTCGTTTTCTCAGTTGTTTGAAGTTCGAACGCGTCGGGTGGTGCAGGAGGAGTTAGTTTCACATGCGGGTCGCATCCTGCACTAAGTCAGAAGCTCGGCCACCCGGTTTTGAGCGTGAAACCAGAAGGCCAAAGCAAAGAAAGCTAACACAGAGCAAGTCACGCAACAACAGCATTTTTCGGTTCTCCGGTGCAATTTGAGGTATTTTGCAAGCTCCATTCCAGATTTGAGTGCACGTTTAGATTCTGTGGTGATTTCCGACTGAAAGGAAGTCATTTGGTGATGTCCGGCAGCAATGCATGGCTTCTAACGGCGGCGCGTATGGCAGCGCTCGGTCTTCGATGATAGTAGTGAGGTTTTGAATGTCCTGTTGGCAGCCGTGCGTGAAGATATATTCTATTTTCTTAGAACTTCTTGTTTATTTGCAGTGTTTTCCATGTATCTCTAGTTATTGTGTTTTGAATATTCTGGATGGTATTTTTGTAGTTCTTGAATTAAAATGGGTGATAATATTGTCTGGTACTACTGCCGTGAACAAAAACATATAAAGCAGTACCGTAAGAAATTGCATACTCGCAAGATGACACAGACTATTAATATTATTGCTGCCACGACTAACTCATCTCTGAAAAAACTATTATGATTTCAGCTAATGAATATGCTAAACTCTCTCAGCATTGAAAAATCTTTTAATAAATTTTCTACTTACTGAATTAGAGAAAAAATATTTTATCTTCTCCTCGAACAGATGGGTGATTAATTCTGATATTATAGATCACATGAAAGATAGTTATAATATTTTTTCTAATTTTCGACCACACAAAGCACCTCTTCCAGTAACCATTGTTGATGAGTCAACCTATAACATTGTGGGTTCTGGGATGACAAAACCAACTTTATCTAATACCCTGTCATCTGTATTAAATCTACCCAAATTTATTTTCAATCTAATTTCTGTTAGTAAACTAACTAAAGATTTGAATTGTTGCATTACATTTTTTCTTGATCATTGTATTCTTCAAGATCTTATGACGAAACAGATTATTAGTAAAGAAAAATATATCAAATTATCCATACATTCTTAATACTTGAATCTCTCGATCGATTATCTATTCTAGTGTTATCTCTCCATTTGAATCACATTATCAATTAAGACATCTTTCTCTACCTATGTTGAAGAACCTATGTCCTCAATTTCATGATATACCCTTCACTGAATTGCGAGTCATGTTGGTTTCCAAGACATCATCGTAGTCCGTCGGTCTAAGGGTCAATAGACGAGCTAAGTCTGCTTTTGAGTTAATTCATTTTGATGTTTGGAGTCCATGTCATGTTCCGTCCAAAACAGATATGAATTATTTCGTTACCTTTGTGAATGGATTTTTCTCAAATAACTTTAATATATTTTATGAAAAATTATTCTGAAGTATTTTCTTATTTTTGTGTTTTTTGTGCTGAAGTGAAAACACAATTCAATATTTTTTGTGCATGTAATGAAAAGTGATAATACCAATGAATATATGTCAGACTCCTTTCATAACTATATGATTCAACACAAGATCATTCAGCAATTCTCGTGTGTTGATACACCCTCTCAAAATGGAGTTGTTGAAAGAAAAAACAGATATTTACTTGACATAAATCGAACCCTCTTGTTCCAAACGTAAGTACCTAAGCAATTTTGTATTGACGTTGTTTCCACGACTTATTTCTTGATTAATCATATGTCATCTACAGTACTTAATAGAGATGTTTATTATAGTTTTCTTTTTCTAAACAAATCTTTATTTTTGGTGCAACTTAAGATATTTCGTATCACTTGTTATATTCGATATGTGCGACCTAATGTGACAAAATTAGACCCAAAGATCTTCAAGTATGTATTTTTGGGATATTCTTACCTTCAAAAAGGATATTGGTGCTACTCTCCAGATCTCAATAAATATTTGGTATCGATTGATATAGTTTGTTAAGAGAATATACCGTTCTTCTCCCTATTGTTCAAGTCTACAAATCAAGGGACAGACGATGAGTGTCTCATCTATAGTTTCACACCAGGTGCCTCTACTGAGCAAACAAATAATAGTATTTCTCAAGATGATGTGCCTCTTGCTCTACTTGAGCAAGTTGATAATAGTGTTAGTATGCCTGTGACCCAAGAACTACCACCAATTATTCATGTTTATTCCAAAAAACAACAGACTAATGATATATATCCTGCACCAGGTCTGTTGTCATCTGATTCTGCCTCATAAGACCTTGATTTTGCCATTGATCTTTGTAAAGGTAAACGTCAGTGCACTATTCCTAAGTCATCTAACTATTTCAGTATTTCAATAGATTCAATTTCCATATCCAAGACAATTAAGAAAGTTTTGAATCATCCTGTTTGGCATAATGCAATATTTGAGGAGATAAATACTCTCAATGAAAATCATACTTGAAACTTGGCGGGTTTACTCAAAGGAAAAAGGGTCATGGGGTGCAAATAGGTATTTTTAGTCAAAATAAACCTACATAACTCAGTAACAAGACTTAAAATCAGACTTGTACCAAAAGACTATGCTCAAACTTATGGAGAGGATTATTCTGATGTTTTCTCTCCGATGGTCAAATTTACATATGTCTGTTTAT